TTTGAGCAAACATGAGGCATGTGAGTGAGCAGACTAGGCAAAGAATATATATCACAAGTTAGAAAGGTACAAAGATGCTGCTTGGGGAGAAAACTTCAGATTCTGTTGTTCTCATTCTATGATAATTTGCACCAACCAAGGTCCAGACCCATCACAGAGTGCAAAGCAGGATTTGAGTCATTTCAAAAGTGTTTCACGGCCCTGACCTTGCCTACAGTCACATTCTCCTGTGCTCTGGTTCTGTCTTCCTGGCTACAGCATGGAGATATGGCAGAAATCACAGAATCCAGGAAAAAAAGACCCCATTTGCAGGATCTGAGAAATAAAACGCCCTGTTCCCACCAACTCAACACATATTTCTGGCTGGAACATCAGCCTATTTTTGCCAGTTAATGTCTTTTTCTGCAATAGTGATAATAGTCATTCACCTCGTCAGCTGTGTCTGTTGGACACTCAAACATAGCTCAATTTTTTTTATTGCTGTTGTCAAAAACTTGAGCTATGTATGTCAGCCCTCAGAGAATAAAGTTTTTGTGTTTCTGCAGATTCAACCTTCAGGTTCAAGCCACAGGCATGCTCCTAAATCAGAGTGCTGAGAGGGCTGCCTTCCAGAACCTCTTCCCCTGCTCAGAGCCTCTGAGACACAGTCCTTTTCATTATCTCTGGCCTTGATCAGCTTCTCTAAATTCTCTTTCCAGCTTCTGACCTTGATTAGTCTCTTTTCAATTTATAGTCTTTCCCCCCACACACACACTTTCTTAGCCATGCCACCTCCAGGGCTCAATTATTTCTTCTTTCTTTGTTTTCTGTCAACCATTTTTAGAATATACAACCTGGGCATTAAAAAAAAATCAATATTTACTTAAGTGCACACAAAACAGTTTTTATTTATAGTAGGATGAGATACAAAAACAGTTAAATATGATGATTTAATAGAGATTAATCACATGACTGGAAATCAGAGCTCTGGGTCGTCATTTTAACTATGTCACTTCTAATTATGTGACCTTGGACAACTCCATTTCACAGAACCTCTAACTCCTTATTTGTAATATGACATGTAATGCACATCGTGGTTAAATGTTAGACCTATACTGTAAAGTTAATTTCATCAAGCCAACCATATGTTCTTCAGTAAAACAAAATTTATGTTGAATCAAGGGAAACTTTTCTTTTTTTCTAAAGCACTTATTTTATTACTCGTCCTAGATTATTTTATTAGTTATTTTATTTGCTCATCATCAGATGAGCAAAACTTACACCTACCTCTGGACTCATGTGTATAGGTTAACAACTGCTATGATAATGCTGTATAACAACTCACAATTTCAGTGGTACATTCCAATATTTAATGTGTTAACGGGAAAAAAACAACAACATTGAAACCTGTAAAGAATTTTTGTGAGTATATTTGAGCCAAACTTTCGACATATGCTGGGAAGCAGAACCTCAATGGATTGAGTTAATGCTCCGAAGAATGGCGAGTTACATCTCTCTATTTATACACTGAAGTCAAAGGAGGGACATAGGTGGGTTACATGAAATTCATTGGTGATGGAGTAAGAAGGCGGGGGAAAAGCGAAGCGGTGGGAAACTCCTGGGATTGGATAAAAAATAAAATGATGGACTGCACTCAGGTGAGTGCAGGAACAATTAACATGATAAAGAAGGAATTTGAGGCATTTGTCCTGGCGCTCCCCACATTTGGTGGTGCCCCTGGGGCTCCGGAAAAAGGGAAGTTATAAGTTACCCAGATGTGTCATAGATATGTTATCTTAGAGGCAAAAAGGCAAATGGGCTCAGTAAAAAGATCGAAGTTGATCTTTGGGAAAATATCGGCCTAGAATATGACTATCCACTATAACCTGTTTGTAGTTAGATATTTAATTTTCAAACCATCTTTTGTGGTTATTTTAGGTCTCTAAGTTTGCAAGACTGCCACGCAGACCTCCCCTGAGCTTGTCAGGTTAGCATGTGGCTCTTTTCTTTCACAAATGTATACCCCTCTGAAGTAGGTTGGAGGTTGGTTGATCTAACTTGAGCATGGTTTAGGTGGTTCCTCTCTTCTCCATGAGTCTTATCTTCTTGGAGCTAATGGGCTAATCTGAAAATGTTCTCATGGTAATGGCATAGAATAAGAGAGTAAGTTCAATCATATGAGCACTGTCCAAGCCTTGATATTCCATTGTCCAAAGCAAATTGCATGGCCAACCCCGAAGTCATGAGATGCTCATGATGCAGATGGATAAGGAAGTGAATAGTTCTGAACAACAATCTAACACACTGTGCTTTGGAAATGAGTGATGAAAAAGCTTATGTATGGCCTTTTCTCAGTGAAAATAAAGGCAGTGATGAAGATGTGCAGGATTAGTTGCTACTTTTCCTCCTGTGGCACATAACTGAATGCACTTCTAGGGAGAGGAGTTGCTGGTTTTGAGACAGCCTTTATGAACTTGCTTGCATATAATTTTAAGTTGCAGGTAAAACGGTCATTGTACTCATATGAGGGAAGTCAAGATCATGGCACTGCCTCAAAAGCATCCCGAGCCCCTCTGATTGACAGATTTGTGAAAAATTCCTGGGAACCACTGATCCAGTATTCCTTCATAGGTAAGCTCCTGCTCACTCTAATCAAGTTGAAGATGATTTTGAAAATGCAGATCAGGACTTATTTATAAAAGCAAGGGATTGTGGTTCAAAAAGGAGCTAGTGCAAAAACACTGTGAGACACCTGCTACCTGATAGATTGAAAAATCATATGACTTACATTGTATTCATGTATGTAAAACTGTCTATCTCTTTACTGAAAGAATCTAAAAATCCTTCAATTCTGCTGCTTTTTACCCCAATGCCTCCACTTGTTTTCATGTCTTCTGGTGAAACATAAAATAAAATCACAATGATGACACATTACTGATGATTAAGTTGTATTAAGCAAGAATAACTACACATGAAACAATAGTCATATATTTTATTATGAAGTAGTCTATTTGTTTCTTGAGAACTAATAAGAAATTGAGAGTAATTAAGGCAGGCAAACCTTAATTTATTTTTCCATTTATTGGGCTATATTAGCTATCTATTACTGTGTAATGTATTTCCCAAACTTAATGGTGTAAATCAGAAGTATTTATTATCTCACGTAGTGTGTGTGGGTCAGGAATTCAGAGGAGGCTTAGATGGATGGCTTTGAATTTCATGAGGTCCCAGTCAAAAAATCAACTGAGGTTTTAGTTATCTGAAGATGCAAGTGGGGGCTGGAGGAGCTGCTTCCAAGATGGTTCAACCACATGGCTGGCTAGTTGCTAAGAAGAAGCCTCGGTTCCTTGACAGGTGGACACATAAATAAGGCTGCCTGAGTGTCCTCACAGCATGGCAACTGGCTTCTTCCAGAACAAGTGGTCAAAGAGAGATCAAGGCAGAAGCTACAATATAATTTATGACCTAGCCTTGGAAGTCAGACTCTGTCATTTCTACAGCATTTTATTGGTTATACCAGGCCTGGGACTGGTACTCACTCACAAAATTGTGTAAGTGCATGCCCTGAGTGTAAATATGTACTTAAATTTTACACCCTTGCTGCCTTGCTTGCCTTAATCTAGTCCTGACCAGCTGTACACATTTGCTGTACTTAGTGTTAGAGGGGGCTACATAAAAGGCAAGAATCATGGGAACAACGTGAAGGCTGGCCACCATGAGAGTTAAGCATTTAACCAAGATTCTGATCAATGAGAAGGGACTTCCACTGGCTCATCAGTTCTCAACTTTGGTTGAACACCTGAATCATCTGGGAGTGATGACTTAATTGATCAGGAGGGACAACCATGATATCAAAAAGGTCTCCAAATTATTCACTTGTGCAGTCAGGGATAAGTACATTGAAAAGGAAGTAAAAGTTCCTTCTGAGACTGAATTCCACACAGAATTTGCTATTATATCTATTAGCAACATCTGTTTTCCCCTCATGGAGCAGAGTGTGGAGGAAGATTTAGAAGGACAAGGGGCATAAGTAATTTATTCACTCACAAACGGTTGTGAAAACAGAACAGGTCAGGATGACTAGGTTTCTTTCCCCACCACCTGTATGTTCTGTCTGAACTGTTTTATAAAAGATTGGTAGACACAGGGTTAACTCATCAATGCTAGTCTGATTTGAGGTTCTTTATTTGTTTCAAGATATATCAAAACAGGCACATTGGATGAACAGAGAGATCCACAGATGAAAAAGAGAATAATGGAAATTAAGTGAGCTAGATTAGGGTTAGGCTGTCTGTTTACTTATATACCAGTTTGTCACACACACACACACACACACACACACACACACACACACACACACACACACGTAAAGCCGATAATGAGATCACGCTTAGCTCATATAATTTTAGAAGCCAGTTCAGGTTTGTATCTATTAGGCTACATGGTTGTTGAGTAGTTATCTCTTTGAACCTTATATCTATTCCCAGGGCTGGAGCCTGGGCTGAATGTACTGGGAAGAAAGGTGAAGGAGGATTGGAATGGGGTTCTTATGCAGGATATTCTGTTTTCTGCATTGAAAATAAATAACACAATTTCAATATGAAGACTCCTGCTAGAACTTTTACATTTTTTTCTTTTAATTTTCCTAGGAAATGTAGAAAAAGCCTGTAGAGATTAGCATGATTTTGGCAAATAGTTTAGAATGTTGGCAGATGCCCAAAGAGAAAAAGCTCTGTTGCAGACATATGCTCGAAACCATTTTGTCACCTCAATCAGATAATTAAAATGAAAAATAAAACACTGCAAGCATTTTTTATGGCAGTAGCCTAATTTGCACTTGTTACATAAGCAAGGACATTCCTGCAGATTGCATTGGGTGTCAGCATAACATATCCTCACTCTTCTGTAAAGGCATGCTCAGATGAAAGGGGAAAACAGGTCATTCTCTCCTGACATCCATTTCAGCCACAGAAGAGGCTTGGCTAGAGGGCAAATACTTAATAAACAAAGTATCTACCATCTCAATAGGATTCTAGCAGAGTTTCATTGTATGGCAAAGTCTCAAAGGTTTGGAGTGCTTCCATCTCCTGACAGGGTAGATCACTTCCAATGGATTCTTGAATGCAAATGTACTTGATGGGAGGAGGAGGCGGCTTGAAAGATGGGGGTCTTTCCATGCTAGGAACAAAACATTGCTCTTTTAATGCTAAGAATGTGAGGAGATGATTGAAGTAGGAAACAGAGAAAAAGAGACATACCCCACTAGCTCTCAGAATTTTCTTGGCATAACTTTTTGCTTGTTAGTTTTATCATGATAATATCATTAATTAATATTTAGATGGTAGTTTTATAGTTTGCAAAGTGTTTTTGTTATAACCTTATATCTAGAAATTGAATATTACTGTCACCATTCCATATATAAAAATTAGGCACCAAGGTTTTAAGCATCTTGTTCAAGAGAACCAGACGAGCAATTCAAGTCTTTTAACGAAAACCCATACTCTTCATGACAACTGCTTCTTAATAAAAGTGCTTCTCTTATGTGGGTTAAAAACATTCTTCTAGAGACAAAATTTTAAAATTCTGTGTGCTGTGGGATCTGGTTTAGGTGGGAAGTAAAGACTTAAATGTTACACTCAATTGAATCCCTGAGTTGATTGGTACAGAATAGATAATGCCAGAGTCCCTTTTCTTTATATAAGTGAATATTCTGAATGTCATCTTTGTATAAAATGTTATTCTCTGTTAACACAACTCATCTCTTGTCTAAAATGCATCAAGCATACAGGTGACTGTGAGATCTAGCAATACAAATGCCTCAGCCCTACTGATAATAGAAAACAGAAATATATCTGTGAGCAGATTTATGTCCACAACCCAAACACCTCTAGCTCTTGTCTATCAATCCATAGTACCTTAACTTCTCTCTCTCCCATAAAAACATTGTTTCTCATTTCTATATAGCACAGGCATTTGACTACCACACAACAAAAAATCATTTCAGATTTTCACAGTCCCATAACTTTCTCATTCTATTATATAAATCCCCAGTGTCTATTACCTGGTTTTCTGATGCTTTAATGGAGACAGTATTTATCAAAAGGTAAATAAAGTATTAAGAAATTTGCACTTTTGTTTTTTTCAGGTAAATTCTGAATTTCTCAAGGTCATATGGTGACCAAAGTGTAGTACTTAGATAAGAATCCATAAATTCTGACTATTGGTTTAGTGTTTTATTCACCATGATAGTAATTGGCAGATATATGGAAGATCAGACCTATGTATTATGAGGGTCTCCTCTAATTGTGGCCTAATCTGGACTGATTCAACATAGATCTGTCAGAAAAGTAGAGCATAACCTTATGTGTCATTTCAGATTGTGGACTGGAAGAAGAGTTCCGGAGAATATTTCAATACGATTTAAAAAAAAAAAAGGGGGGGGGGGGAGGGGGGTAACCAACTGTTTCGTTTCTTTTCCTCTTGGGGAAAAAGGTAAAGGGCAGTAAAAGCTCATTCTGCTGAAAAGCAGCTGGAAATTTCTTAAAATTACCTTTCTCACTCAATTTCACACTTGAGCATCTCAGCAGGGCTAGGCTCAGGCAGGTCAGAGATGCATGAAAATGAAAAAATAATAAAGATTAAAAGAAAAATCATTTTCAATTTTGAGGTAAGGTGAGGCTCGGTTTTTATTTCATGCCCACTGACTGTTCTACTTGCTGAGTGCAGTGTTACAGCCTGAACAAGGCAGAAGGGCTACCAAATCAGAAGTTGTGTATCTAAGCCCAATTGTGTGGTGCCGGGAAAGCTACATTACCTCTCTGAGCCTTATTTCCTCTGTTAAATATGACTCAATACAGGAATGATACCTATAGTGCTGAGTGAATAATGCATATTGAAGAAGTATCGGTTCCTGCATATCTTGGCATTATACCCACATTTCTTGTTGGTATTGACACCATTTTCTCACTCCAAGGCCAAAAAATACCAGGCAGAAAAAGAGCAAAGCTGCTACCATCACTGGCCAGGACATCCCATCTCTGGGCTTATTAACCACATCACCTGAAATGGGCATAAAGAGAAGAATGTTAATGCTAAACTTTGGCCATTGGAAAACAGAATTTCTCCCACCTGACAGACATTTCAATCAAAGGCCAAAGGTGTTTCTTGACCACAGTCACACCGAGGGACCTTGTCTATGCCTTGTTCTAATTTCTGGTTTGGCATTTATACAACCGCGTTTTTACATGAATGTCTTTCTTGGTCATCTGTTCCATAGCTGATCTTTTCCTTCATTTCCCCAAGGCCCTGGACAATTCCTGACATGTGGTACCCAAAGAAATGTTACCCATGTTTCCCCGAAAATAAGACATCCTCCAAAAATAAGACCTAGCTCAACTTTGGGAGAAAAAATTAATATACGACACTGTCTTATTTTTGGGGAAACAGGGTATTTGCAGGAATGAATGAATTAAAATAATTTGTAAGTTAACTTTATTTGTGAAACAATGGTCTACCTTTGGGTTTTCTTATTCTTGAAGGAATCACTAAATGCTCTATGGAAGCACATGTGATAGGAGGAGGGAAAAAGAGTAAAAAGCAGTGTGACATTCCAAAGTCCTGAAGAGCTAAGCTGAGAAACCCTGGATAATACCTATGGAGTTGTAGTGCTGAAAAACTATGTTTCAAGACTTCTCATTTGAATGTCACTCAAGGAATCATATCCAGGCTAGAGATTTTTTATCCTTTTCTATCACATAGCCTCCTTTTTTATTCCCCATATCCATTTCAAGAATAGAAAGGGGAGAATGGACAAAACGGATAAAACAAACCAGTTGGTATTGCAATTTCTGTGGTCTGAAAAGGGAGGAAGTTGAAAGTAACAGACTGGCTAAAATGATATTGGTGAGTAATCAATGGGCTGGTTTTTCTTATTCTTGCTGACCATATCCATACTCAATCATTCATTAACATTTGAATATTAAGTTAAACTGCATGAATCAAAGTCTTTAAAATATTATAGATTCTAGGCTAGCAGCAAAATAAATATCCTACTTTGGATAGTTTTACTTTTTAGCAAATGAGATTGCCTGGTTCTACCTGGCAGTTAATAGAAGTATTTTCTTTTCAAAAACTACTGAGATCATGTTAACAATTCATACAGCACAGAACTATAAAACTACAGTGAAAAAAAAGTGCCCTTACTATTTAGGTACCAGTTACCCACACTAGAGGCAATAAGTTTCAATAGTTAATTACATATCCTACCAGAAATTTCCTATGCATACATAAACATATAATATGTATCATGAATATACATCCCTTTTATTACAAATGCGGACATACTCTACATATTGTTCTGCCTGTTCCCTGGCTTTTTTTCTCTTAAAAATTTTCTTGGAATACTTTCCAAATAAGTGTATAGAGATTTACCTCACTTGATTAAACTCCTGGCTAGTTCCCCAAATGCAGAGATCTACCATAGTTTATTTATTAATTGGTCTCTTAATGTCAGGTGGTTGAATTGTGTCCAGGCTTTTATTATCTCTAACAACACTCCAGTGGAATCCTTATACATTATAGATAGATCTTTAGCTCTTTAGATTACATAGATCATTTGGGCAAAAAGTGAATTTTTATATCATAATTGTCTGGACTGATTTAATCCAGATTATAAACTTTTCATAGGTTTTTATTTTTATTTGTTGCCTAGCTATATTATACTGTTTCCCATACAACAAGTCTCAAAAAAAAAAAAAAAGATACAGTCTAAAAAACTGGATTTAGAATATTACGGACCAAGTCTTTTCTATGTGTTACATAGTTTGGACTGCATCCACATCATGTCAAGTTAACAGTGTGTTGGTTATCAGTGTAGAAGACTCAAGACTTTTTCTCTCACAACACACACATCCAGGATTTGAGGTCTTCCTGAAGCTCACCCTACCTCAGCCCTGTTGAAACAGACACTGAGGGTACCCTGGAAGCTTGTGGAGTTCTTCCATACATAACCATGTGATACTGTGTATGCATCAGTGACTAACGAGAGTTCAGAAATTCAAACCACTGGAGTATTGTGACCACCTAAGGAACAGCTCAGGACTGCACAACGTTCTGTTTTAGTGAAATCAAAATTGACTAGGCTCTACACTAGTACTATGGTAGGAAATAGTATTTATCCCCAAAGTTTTAGAGAAATAAAAGAACAAAAGGTTTTTTTTAAAATGGGTGTTAAGTTCATGTTTATAAATTTTTCTTCAAACCAAATATAGAATAAGATCATTGAGTTCAGGAATGTCTCAGTGCAGAAGCCGAGCTCCAATTGGGCCCCATTTCCAAAGTAGGCAGTTCTGAAAGTCACCAATATCTTATATTGGTAGGAACACAGTTTGCAACTCTGTTGACAGGTTGTGTGAGGATGATGCTCTCATGATCTAAGGATTGCATGACCTTCCATATGAAATAAAATGATTACACAGGCGAAGTTCACTAAGCAAGTGAACAACCCCTGAAGTGAAAGTGTTGATTAGACCTCTGAATTTATGATTAAGACCTGCATTGGGAGGGTCCTAACTTTATTGAACCCCTTATATAAAATAATGGATTACATTTAGCATTGATTAATTTTTATTAATATAATATAGGAATTATTTTTGTTCCAACAATCTCTTTCTTGATTCAGACTATATTTTAACAAGACTGAAATGTTATTCCAGTGAATATTTTCCTGTTCCCCAATTAAAATCAGATCTTTCAGTTAGATGCTGACAATACCTGTATTATATCATAGCATGTCGCAAATAAATTTAATTTTATGGCTACTTAATCACTATATATCATCTCTAACAGATTACTGTCTTCAGGAGGTCAGTGTTTTCACTGTATGCCCAACAATTGGCACAGTGTCTGGCAAATGGTACTCAATAAATATTTCTTGAGTCAATAAAACATAACATCCAAAAGTAAATGGCACATGGCTCACCAGTGATATGGATGTCATTATTTTTAGTAGATCTATTGGCAGCTGTGGGAACTTCTGGAAATTCTTCGGTTGTCCTGATGAAGTCATCACCTAGGGATCCAAAGGGGATTTTCTGAACTGTTCCTAATAGCCATCTCAATCTGATCAAATAGTATAAAATCATGACTGGATTTCACTTGCTGTTAGGAAGAGCTCAATTTATATGGCTTAAAAAACACTCCTAAAATATTTTATGTGTAAAGTTCACTAAGGATCAATTTAATGCAAGGCTAGGATCCTAGTTTCTGTCTAATATGGCACCAAATAGTGAAATTTCCTATTGGATTAAAGAAAAAAATAAATAAGGGGAGAGAGAGAGAAGCTGCATAGCGCACATTACAATCCAATATCTGCTAAAGAATTTCCATGAGAAATTTAAGTAATTATGGGAAAATATCTTAAGTTGGGAGCATGGAAAGATGAGGTCTATCCCTATTCTCTCACAATAACAGAGGTCTAGCCCAGTGGTTGGCAAACTGTGGCTCATGAGCTACATGCAGCTCTTTGGCCCCTTGAGTGTGGCTCTTCCACAAAATACCAGTGGCGTTAAAAGAGGTTTAAGTTTTAAAAAATTGACTCTCAAAAGAAATTCCAATCGTTGTACAGTTGATATTTGACTCTATTGACTAATGAGTTTTCAACCACTGTTCTAGCCAATCAAAATACTGATTCTCCCCACTCTAATGTATTTGGAAAGGTCAATAAAAATTCATTGGCATCATTCAAGTAGACAAATCTATATTGACAAATCATTCAATTTTCCAATGGAAAAATAAAACAAAACGCATTTTTAATGAATTCAATTGGTTAAAAAAAGCCATTATATAGATTTAAACCTATATAATAAAGAGCTAATATGCAAATAGTCATCACACCTGCATGCCATAATGATTCAGACATTTAACACTGGGAAGAGAGGAATGTGGACCAGCCAGGCACAAATGAGCTTGCAAAAAAGGCATGGGGACCAACCAGGTTATGGCCTAGGAGAGGAACAAGCCACCTGCCCCATGGTCCTGGGTGTCAGTGCCTGTGGCTGCGGCCCGGCCCGGGTGAAGCCACCTGCCCATGGTCCCCTGCGGCTGCAGCTGGCCAGGGCAAAGCTGGCCTGGGTCCTGGGTGCCAGCAGCCAGCCAGAGGGAGGGAAGCCTGGGTCCCAGGTGCCTGTGACTTTTTGGAGGAGGGAATCCTGGGTTCTGGGTGCGGGGTGAGGCAGAGGCAGTTAAGGGTGATCAGGCCAGAAGGGGAGCAGTTAGGGGCAATCAGGCAGGCAGGCAGTCTGTCAGCGGTTAGGAGCCAGCAGTCCCAGGTTGCGAGAGGCAGTTAGAGATCTCCGAGGGGTCTCAGATTGGAGAGGGTACAGGGTGGGCTGAGGGACTCCCTGCCCCGTGCACAAATTTTGAGTACACTGGTCTCTAGTTTTGAAATAAAAGAGGAAAATCTAATACTTGGTCTCTATCTTCTTTCAGTGACTGGGCAGAATTTTGGTTCCATTCATTATCATTGTCATTGTCATTGCCATTTTCATTAAGAAATGCACTTTTAAATATCTATCAGAGATTGGATTCTTACCGATCCTTGTTTTTTAATCTCTGTCAAGATGAAGCAGACCACTACCTCTCCTGACTCTAAATCTTCCCCACTGCTTACCATGAACTGTAGAGTCCACATCTGAGGGGAATGAACTGTGTGTTTCACTGGGCATCCATGAAACTGCTAAAGGAAGAACATAATGGAAGAATCAATCTGTAAAAGACTAGTTATTTTCTCTTCTTAACTTTTAATTGAATCTAATGATTATAAAAGAGGGATATTAATGTATATTTAAAGCAACATCATTATACTATTCTGCAGCACACATTAGAAAGTCCCAAAATAAAGTGGGAGTTGAGGTAATGCTAGTAGAAGGCCTGTATTATAGACAAATAGGAGAAAGAAAAAGAAAGAAAACTACTAGGAGAGGTTCTTTCAGCCACAGAGAAGGTGCTGTGACTATTCTCGTGGCCATCCACAGGGGAGCTAATGTGAGAGAATGAAAGCCCAGGTGTGTTATGGTGGCCTTTAGTGGAGGAGAGGTGCCCATAGGACTTTGAAGAACTTGGTAGAACACCTGAGGGAACAAAATCATTTGTATTTGTGAGTAAGCTGACATTTTTTATTCAACTGTGAAAATTGAACTGTATCAACAGTGAATTATCAGATCCTGATTGTTACAAGCCTGTTAGCTGCTGAGTGTAGCCTTTTAATGTATTCTGTGGCAAACCTTCCCCTTGAGTGGATGGCAGCAAACTCAGCACATATGGCTTTTGAAATAGAGCCATTAACTCATTTTGTTTAGTTCCCTGTCTCTGGCAAGAAAATCCACTTCTTGGCAAACTCCCCATAACTGTATTTGATAACAGGCCAATAATGTGATATAAAGTAAAATAACTCTAGTGGTGCCTGAGTAGTATGCTCATTTAGTTAAACCATTAGCATACATGATTTTGCAAGTTAAGTGTCTTCTTGTGTGTCCAAACCAAAATAATCAAAACCAAAATAAAATAAAACAAACATTAAAAATAAACCACAAAAAACAGCCTCAGCCTTCCCCTTTCTTGTTTTTTTCCTGAATACCAAGGGCATTTGCAGCTGCAGACAAATGTATGTTATTAGGTCCTTCAGAAGAGGCATTGATCCCCGGAAAATCTGTCATGGCAACTTCCCTGGGGAGTCAGTTCACAGGAAAGGGTGGTTTTGTACACAGTTATTTAGAGTTTGACTAGGCCAGAGAGATGTTCTTATCTTCAATAGAATTCTCTGACCCTGCACTTATGATCTCAACTCTTTTTTCCTCCTAGACTACGAAGGTATACAGATGATGGTGTATTGAGTAATTTTAAATGTCCATTTTTAATGGGTAAGTCATTAAGACAGGAATTTGATTGATAAAGAGCAATAATTATAAAAAGAAATTAGTACGAGGCATGGATTTAGGTACAATTATAATGAAGACTATTTGTTCAGGTTTCCCCCTCCCCCCTTATTTTGTTTTGTTTTTGCCCAATATTGTGTTTCACTTACTTTCTATTTTTAGTGTTTGATGTCTTTATATATTATCTCTTCAAATTCAGTTTTTAAGAAAGTATGTAATAAATTAATTTATGTTAAGGTTATAAATGGTTGACCAAATGCTATCCCTTTGAGAAAGACAGATATTTTTTTTAAAGATTTTTCCATTTCATGATTATTATCAGCAGGTCACCAGAGAACAGTTTGTAATGATTAGTTACACGTGGATTCGAAGGCGTTTTTGTTTATTTTAAGCGTAACATAATTTCAGGAAATGGCGATATCATTAGTATGATCCATCCAAATTACAATACTTAAAATCATGCAAATTATTTGACCATTTCATAAAGCTTCTTTTTAGACTTCTAGGTATTTTTCAAATGTAAAAAGACATCTAAAAATGTGTGATAGAATTAAACTACAAAACTATTTTGGAAGAGTAGAGTTATTTCTCTAATTTTGGCTTTAAGATTTTATTTTAACTTAGTTTAAAAAATACAGTGGGGAGTGTATTGAGGAAGGTGAAGAAAAAAGGAGCTTCTAGTTGATGGATTCAGCATATCTGAAAATACTTAAGTAATGTAAAAAAAAAAAATCATGAGCCCTAGCTGTTTTGGCTCAGTGGAAAGAACATCAGCCTGTGGACTGAGGTGTTCTGGGTTCAATTTTGGTCAAGGGCACATGTCCAGGTTGCAGGCTCGATCCCCAGAGTGGGGCACACAAGAGGCAGTCAATCAACGATTCTCTCTCTTCATTGATGTTTCTATCTCTCTCTTCCTCTCTGAAATTAATAAAAAATTTTATTAATTTTTAAAAAACCTTCAAGAGAAAGTATATATTATAAATAAAATTTCAGCAAGATGAAGAGATGAACAATTTTTACAATAAATGTGCCCATAGGTGAGGCCTTCCTTAAGAATGCTTGTTTACATTTTACAAAATTTACAATTTTGATAGAATTGGTTATGTACAAAAACTCATCTTTCACTAAATGATATACTTTTCTGAAAGTTTCTACTCTCTATCATTTAGCTATATGGTTTTTAGAATTTTGTTTCACATTGACCATACCATTGGCCATTTTTAAGTCTCAAGAGTCTCAGCAGAATTGTGTTGTTATTGTCTTTTAATTGATTGAAATATTCTGTGTTCCTCAAGTCATATTTGTTAAATTCAAGAGTTAAATCTCTGTCAAACCTTTGAGCACCCATTTTCATCAAAATCCGCAAATGAACATGACTTTGACATTTAGATGATAGACACCAGCTTGATGGATAACCTCCTTTAGCACATCACTATTATCAGCTAAAACATGAACACAGGTATATTATGTTGATGGAGTTTCTCAAATAAATTTTTATATAATCTTTTTAACATAACCTTGATTTCTTCCATAATTTCTTTAAATTTTACTTTTAGCAAAGCTTGTTCAACAAGGAAATCGTGTAATACCATTCTATCATAAAAATGTACTTCTCTTTAATGGTAAAAACAGGATCAACTTCAACAGCACAGTATTTTTCAGCTACTTGCAATAACTCCTTTGGACATCTGTCTGTAACTAATTTATAGTTATTGATAATATCATGACATGGCAGGCATCTTTTCTCTTTGTAGAGAAATCTACTTAGTCTGTGGTTACCTGAAGTTTGGCAGCTCATCTTTTGATGAAACCAGTGATAATCTGTTACCTTTGTAGGATTCTTATGGCAAACTGAACTTTCAAATTATGGAATAATTTTACATGTCCAGACTTTTTTATTTGGTTATGTAGTCTTTCTTAAGGCACTCTGAGTTCTTATGTAATTAATTTTATACAATGGCATAGGTGGCAAACAATAACTCAAGATGGAGGGCTTATATACCAAGATCTCTATGACCTTGGTCTTCAGCCCCATCCTCCTCTTCAGGCTGAGTATGTACTCGGCCAGCACCACCTCTTCCACTAGAACATAAATGCTGGAACAAGTTACTGTGTGTGTACCCTTGCCATGATCACCTAGTCCAAAGGTGGGATCCTCATACTCTTCCTGGCCACCAAAAGAAGATACATGCATGAGCTTTCAAAGTGTGACATTTGTGTTCTCATTGTACAAAAGTCCCCAGACACTGGTAGTTTAACAAAAAAAAATATAATTTTAAATCAGAGAAATGAATAATTAATTTGAGACTGACCTAATTAGAAACTATATGACAGAAAGGGAAAACAACAGTTTAGAGGATAGGAAAATGGAATGAGATGTGATCAGAGACATAAAATATTTTAGAATTTGAAAACAAGAGTGGTGAATTTAGAGGATCAGCATCAAAGCCAACAGGGAACAGAGGGACTGAAAATTATCCTGGAGACTGAAATAGGAATAAGATCCAGTGCTGCTATAAGCTCTCTCATTCCTATGTCCCTACCACTGACCCTCAACCCCTCAATTCTAGCCTCTCCATCACCTTCTGTTAATGGAAAGTAAAAAGGGTTGTTAAGAAATTATTAGACACAGCTTCAAAAGCCTGAGAAGAGCCAGATAAAATCATGGGCAGGATAAGCAATGCATTTTCAAGGTTTAAGAAGAATACATAAAATTTGAATGATAAAGAATGCATGATTAAAGAACAGAATAAAGACCCATGTGATGTCAGTAAGAGGTACTCTGAGGCCCAGGTGTGTGTGTGTGTGTGTGTGTGTGTGTGTGTGTGTGTGTATAGTGAGCTTGTTGATTTTTGTTAATAGAGCAAGTTGGAGGCATAATGATTCATGGAGATTCATATCATTTTTCTGCTTGTCTAACTGACAGACTGAATTAAATATGGTTTTCATCTCCAGTGGACCAGATGGATAACAGGGAAAACCAAAAATCAAAAAAGTAATTAAACTTAAATTTTCTACTCCATGGTCTGATCACCTGAGTGTCAGGAAGAAAACATGTTATCAGATGTTATTAACTTTATAGATTTTGGGCATTTAGTTGGTCAGATTTGGTATCCCCATTTCACAGGTGCTTAAAGTAAAATAAGCATCTCTGTTTTAGATTGAGGAAACTTGGAAGCTGAACTAAGGTTAGACTTCAATATTCATGAATCCCAGCTTAGACTTCTTCAAGTTGATAAAAAAAATAACAACAAAATAATACATTAAACCATATATTTATAAATTTAATGTAAGTGCAATGAACTCAGAATCATCTAGTGACACCCAAATAAATATGAGCTACATAAAATACATGTATATAAACAAATATTTCATATCACAAGATCACAAATAGCAATGGCCTTAAAAAACACTGCTGTGGGATTATTTCACAAGAAAACCATTTATTATTATTCTTTTTCCTGTCTCTGAATATTTTATAAATCTATTGGAATAAACATAATGGAAGAAACAAATCCCGCTGCCAATGCCTGCCACGAGTCTTGCTAAGTGCATCATCTAATATTGGGTGTCTCATTATAGTACAATCCAATGAGTAGGAACATGCTTCAAAAATAGTTTGGGAGTAAATAATCAATATGCACTAGCTGGATCCTAATGTGTTTTTGTCAGTGATTATAAATAGAACAACTCACTGCAGGAAATTTTTCTGTTTATGGATAAAACATGACGATTTGTTAACAAGGACTTCTTATTCTTGCACAAGTAAAAATGTGGGTGTTTCACTGCCAGGAAAAAAATTGTTTATTGGGTTTTAAAGTTGCACTTCTATATTTCACAATTTCTAAAGCTATTTTCATTATAAAAATGATAAAGAGATATGGGAGGATAAATAAAGTTTTCAACTGGGGAAAGAAAGAAAATGTGAAGTGTTACAATAGTTCATTTCAGTATGAAATCTATTAGAAAGACCAATAATAGACTTGTGTAAATTATAGAGTACTTTCAAATCCTTTTCAGTTTTCCAGTGTCTGAGACAAAATGTACCTTGGGTGGCTTGCCTGCTTCATATTGATGTGATGCATGGGACAATTTTTTTTTTTTTATTCCTGGCACACATAATATTTTAGTAAGAATTTAAATAAAGCAAATAAATAAAAAGGTCAAAAATTCCATTTAAGAAAGTCATTTCTTTTCACTGTATTTATGTGTGTTTTCTTTCTTGTCCTTGCCCATGTGTACACATACTCTTTCAAATACTCAAGAAAGATTTGCTGAGTACCTATGTATGCCTGCCACTCTACAAATATCAAGATACAATAGTGAACAAGTCAGAAAAAAGGTTAGGTGCCTGTTCTTGTGTATCTTACATTCTAGTATAATTTAAATAGAAAATCAAATAAATACAATAAAGAAAAAACATCAGACAATAACTGTTATGCTGATAATTAAAATATAGGATAATATATATATTATATAATTGTAGCATAAATTTAAGTTCAGCTTTTTGTTATATCATTGTCCAATAAACTCTTTTGCTCACTGCTCCACAATTCCCTCCACCCATATCATCAACAAGTATGCTTTAATTTATCTTTCAACAATATTTATTGAGAACTAGCTATACAGCAGGCATTATCTTAGGCATTGTGGACACAGGTAAGCAAGCAAACCAAAAATCGCATGGAATTTACTTGCATTATATTATTGAGAATAAAGGATGACAAGTTAGTGAGGTATGATTTCAGCAGAGTTTGTTACAAACAACTCTATTTTTTATTAACACTATATAGGATAAAATGTTAATTTATTAAGTATAGGTTTTCATCCCCAGTCTAACAAATATTTTATTCTCAATTTATAACTGATTGGTAAATCTTTACAACTCCTAGCCTTATCTACATAATAAGACATACTATTAGTACACTACGGCTATAGTTTTAATGGGCTTCATAATATTTCATTGACTTATTATCTTATGCTATTCCACATTCTCTTATTATTGGAGAAATTCTTCCCAAATGCCCCATCATTCTCCTTCACACACACACATTTTTTAATTTTAAAAAATAAATAACATTATTTGTCTACCTCATCTCACCCCTGTTATGCCCATTCAAAAGCAAACACTATTCTGAATGTTGTATCTATTATTCATTTACTTAGATAGTTTTAAAGTTTTTTTTTTTTTAAATCACACGTTATACCTAAACTATATGGTGTCTGGTTGCACTTGCTTTTAAATTTATTTAAAAATATTATTCCATATATTGTCACCTGGCATTTACTTTTTTGATTCAACAAAATGTTATGAAGATTCATTCATGTTGTTGTGTGTGACTGTCATTTACTCATTTTTCATTACTTTATGATATTTTATTATATAGCAATGTTACAAGTTATTTGTCTAGTCTCCTGGCTATGATCATTTAGATTATTCATAGTTTTGCTATTATGAATAGTGTACATATCTCCTGGATATATGATCTAGTGTTTTATTGTGTGTGTGTTAGAATATTTATCCAGGAAAAAAAATTGTTGGATTGCAATATATGAAAATATTAATTTTAAAAACAAAATGCTAAAGTGATGGTAACAATTTATACTCTCACTAGCAATATATAAAATTGTACATTGCTCTCTAGTTCATATAACATGCAATAATTACAGACTTCTTAACTGTTGCTAATTGATTAGGTTTAAAATGATTATCTCATTATAGCCTTCAGTTGTGTTTTCTGATTAATAGAGAAGCTGAGAATCTTTTTTTTTTCTAGCCACTGTTTTTTTTTTTTATTAATATATTTTATTGACTTTTTAGAGAGAGAAAGGAAGAGGGATAGAAAGTTAGAAACATCAATGAGAGAGTAACATCGATCCCCCACTAGGGATGTGCCTGCAACCAAGGCACATGCCCTTAACCGGAATCGAACCTGGGACCTTTCAGTCCACAGGCCTATGCTCTATCCACAGAGCCAAACCAGTTTTGGCTAGCCACTGTTTCATGATTTGTGATATACCTATTTGCTCATTGTCTATTGTTTTCTGCTTTTCTTCTTAGTGATTTGTAGGCATTCTTTATTATTATCCATGACATAACATTTTGATCCATTGTGAATTATATAGTTTTAGTCCTTTTTCAATTACATGTGTAACAAATATCTTCTCTCAGATTCTTCTTTCTTTCTTTCTTTCTTTCTTTCTTTCTTTCTTTCTTTCTTTCTTTCTTTCTTTCTTTCTTTCTTTCTTATATTCCTTAAGGTGTCTTTTGATAAAAGATTATTTATCTTAATTTATTTGATTCTATTCTTTCTATTTTGATAATGGTGAGTGCTTATTCTCTCTTCTTTAAGTCCTTCCCTGCCTCAAAGCTTGGAAGAAATTCACCTTTATTTGATTATGTTTTAGTGCTTTGCTTTTGACATAAAGGATACGGAGTTTATTTTTGTGTAATGTGTATGGTGGAAGTATATTTTAATACTTTTTTTTCCCTTATAAATAAATGTTTCTGGGTCATTTGCTGAGCAGTCTCTCCTCTTCCCAGTACTCTGCTATGCTGCCTTTGACACGCATCGAAGTTTCACTTATTCGTGCACTTTGTGTGTTGTCTCTTCTGATGATGCCTTTTCAGTCTTGTATTTACTTAGGCAGTGAGTTTACAAGTGTCTCTTATAATCTACCCTTGAACAATACTGGGGTTAGGGATCCTGACTCCTTTGTAGTTGAAAATCCGCATATAATTTTAACTCCTCCAAGACAATTGCTAATAGCCACTGTTGACCAGAAGCCTTACTTATGTATTAATAACATAGTTGATTAATACATATTGTGAAATATTGTACTCTTAATATAAAGTAAACTAGAGAAAAGAACATGCTATTACAAAGATCAAGAGGAGAGAATAAATACATTTACACTATTTTATATATTTAGTGAAAAAAAAAATCCACATATAAGTACATATAACCCATGCTGTTCAAGGATCAACTTATATTATTAACATATTTATTTAAATTAATATGACACATTAAATTATAGAGGGTTATACACAGACTAATGTTGAAAGTGCCTCATGAATTAAAAATTATGATTAACTCAAGTTTGTGAACCTAATGTCCATAAGAGCAATAAATAATGCTATAGTAAGCAATATTATATGTTTCTCTTTTATTTATTTCCTAAGGACAAGTTCCAAGCAGGAAGATGACTGAGTCAGTGGGTAGAAAATATTTTGAGAAGTTTTAAAGGTACAACTTAATGCATGCCAAAGGGAACATGGCCATTTACTGTTCGTGGCAAAGAGCCTAGCAGATAAAGTCACAAACCTGGCATCCAAGGTTTCACTTCTGCCACATCCCTTGCTGTGCTGTCACAATACTGGTCTTTGTCAATTCCTGCTACACAGTGGCTGCAGACTCTGCAGCTGCTAGCTGGCCAGATTAAAGGTAAAAGATCATTTCTGTGCCTCATCTGGGCTCCCTCTTTCATTTTTATTAGAGATAGTATGCATTCTGCTAGGATGCTTCTTCCATAGATACACTAAAAGCTTGCACTTCTACCTCCATTACTTATATCCTTACTCAGGTGTCACCTTAAATTTAAGGCATTGGAAAGCTTTATTTAGAATGGGAACCCACTCTGACCCTATATTCTCACTGACTTCCTTTGCTGCTTTATGTTTTCTATCTCACTCATCATCATTTGTCTGTCTTTCTTCAACCAGGATTTGGAATTTAGATCTGTCTGTTCACAGATGTCTGCCCACCTCCAACATTAATGTTTCAAATGTGGTGGATGCCTTATAAATATTTGTTAATATTATGAAAAAAGCATATAGGAGTTACTCAATATGTGTGTTAGATGAATAAATTTGGGCACAGGGGACTAAAAAAAGACTCATGGTTATACTTACAGTTTTTGATATCTTTCCCACTGGAGGTCCAGGAGTAGTTGAAGCCTTGGGTAGTCACACTGGAATTGCTTGCTGTAAGACAAAATTTCCAGAATCCAAGCTTTTTATAAAGATGTAATTTAACTTTGCTGTGATGTGCTGAATTTTTAATCTATGTGACTTTGGGGAAATCTGAAAATTGAAATGTGCCTCCCTATGCAGTAACACTAGCTGGCATATTGAGGGAAAGTTCTGCAGCTTGTGTTTAATGCCAACTAATCATGATTTACTTCCTTTTTCTGTTCTTGTAACCAACTCAGATCACTAGGACTGCTGAGAAGACTACTTAAATATTATCTTAAAATCACATGACAAATAAAAGGTATCTATAATAATAAAAACATAATATGCTAATCAGACAGCCAAACAACTTTCTGGATGTCATGCTGGACGTTCTTCCTGATAAAGCCTGGTAGTGGGGGCCAATTCAGAGGCAGTTAGGGGCGATCAGGTAGGAAGGCGAGCAGTTAGGGACTGTCAGGCAAACAGGCAGAAGGGGTTAAGGGTGGGTAGGGGTGGTCAGGCAGGCAGGTGAACAGTTAAGGGCAATCAGGCAGGCAGAGGGGGTTAGGGGCAATCAAGCAGACAGGCAAGTGGTTAGGGGCAATCAGGCAGGCAGGTGAGTGGTTAGGGGTGATCAGGCATGCAGGTAGAGTACTTAGGGACTATCAGGCAGGTAGATGAGTAGATAGGGGCAATGAGGCAGGCAGGCAGGCAAACAGTTAGGATCCAATAGTCCCAGATTACGAGAGAGTGAAAGCCAGGCTGAGGGACTCTCACCCCCATGCACAAATTTTGTGCACTGGGCCTCTAGTAGTAAAATAACAAGCACTAATCTTTTTTTTTTTTTAATAGTGATTGTCATATCAATATATAGTTACCAAATTACAAATTACAACAAGCAACTCAAACCAAAAATATCAACATCAAATGAAGAAATATAGCCTTTTACCCAAAACTCCACATTATCATGTCTGTAGTAACACTTGTGAGCCTGTTGTCTCTTTTGAAACATTTTTGGAAAGGCTTGCTATACTCACTTTGAGGCGTGTTGTTTGGAGTCAGTGTGCTCACATCTACAGGAGCCATTGAAGATATAGCTAGATATCCTATTTCAAAAGCAAATTTCCCAAATTATCATAGATATTCGTATTCACATGTTTAATTCTGCTACTATGGTAAACAAGGGTGGCATGCAGAACTTGGGATATTACAGCTGGTAAGAACCTTAGTGAATACAGAGTATCCACTTCATTTTATAAATGATAAAATTGAGTCCAAAAGGTACATGCCTATGGTTACATACCGAATATTCAGCATCGTTTATTTGATACTAACCCAGTCTCTTAACTAATGCCAAGTGCATTACATTCATACTCCCAAAATATATTTAATATTAACTGTCTGCCAGACTCTATTCTATGTGGAAATAACAATAAAGACAAGGCTCTCACCCTTATGGAACTTACAGTGAATCTTCACAACTGTGTATAATGTTTTAACATAGTAAATAGGGTTTTGCATTTACATTAATTCCTGTCTTCTCATAATCCATCATTTCCCATTCTCCTTCTCCCTTTCTCCCCCTAAAATGAAAGACTAATTCATATTCGTTTGAATATATCTCTTTAGATGAAGCAAATTAGATTAAAGAAGAAAAATACCTAGCCACACTCACTGAAAACATTTTATGTTTCTTGGAAAGACAAATTATCAGTATATTTTATTTATGTGTATTTTCCTCTGTTCTAAAACATTATTTAGGTGGCTTACATAGATATGCAATGCAAGAAGATACCAGAAGTGAAAAGGAAAAATAAGAGTAAGGAAAAGATAGTTAGGAAAGGTTTGTTGAGTCCCATTGAAATTTGAGTGGAGATAGTATAAAAATGCACTTATTGATGTCATGAATTTTTGGTAGCTGTGTGCCCCCCATTTGGTCAGAACTTTCTAGTAACAATGCTAAGAAATAAAGTATATGTTATGCCATCATTGGACATTATAAGATCAGAAAACAGTCAATTTTTAAGAAAAACACAGCTATTCCTTTTATGGTAATTAAAAATAAATTTCTCCCAGGCTTAATACCAAGAATATTGTATAATGTTTGACTATTCTCAAAAAAGATCCTTACTGATACATTCGGACAGTCAGCATGCTCATGACCACTCTAGCTTTAAATGACAGCGAGTGGCACCACTGCTTCCCAAGTACCTCAGTTCTGGGAAAGAGTATGCCTCAGATAGAAAGCATGAGTAATCAAATCTCTGAAAAATATATGTAGGATAAATAAATAAATTGGCATTGGGGTTTATGCATCTATAAGGAGTTCAGCTATAGACATGATCAACCACAATTCTTTTTGCAGTGCAGCCTACCAATGAACATCAAAGATATGCTACATCCCAGGTGTGTTAGAAACTGCCTCATATCATGCTGTATAAGCAACTAAAAAGGGAAGCCAGCCTGAGAATAGGCAGAAAAAAATGTTTTAAAGACCAGATATAAATAACTTTATTTCTGCAACATATACTTATTGAGCGCATAAAATAGGGGGTAAAATAAAGAGAAAGAGAAACTCGCCTCTGCCTGCATAGAACACAGTTTAGTGAGAATAAAGGTCAGCATGGGAGACAACTGACTGATCACCAAAGCCAGCCTTCTTCTTTCTGGCTCAGAAACAGTGAGTAGAATTCCTGCTCTCCTGTGTGGTTAAATGTGGTCTTGTATTGAGTCCCAGCCAATGGATTGTGAGTGACGATTAACATTTCAAGGCCTGACCAATAAAGCCTCCTATGCATGATCCTCCATGAGCTTTCCTCACGTAGTATTCAGCTCTTACGGTGAAGGCAGACTTAGAAGGCATAACTTAAAGGTGACAGAGCTGCTGGCAGCTTTAGTTCTTGAATGACTATGGGACAGAGCACCCAGCCACTGGCTTAGCCTTTCATTGGCTCTTAATGATAAAAGGACTTATCCTATATAATAAAGAGGTAACATGCAAATTGACCACCATATATACTAAATAGGTAATATGCAAATTGAGCATCACTCCAACCTATAAGATGGTCACCTCCATGTGGACACAAGATGGCTGCTACAAGATGGCTGGCAGGGGAGGGCAGTTGTGGGTGATCAGGTCAGCAGGCGAGGGCAGTTGGGAAGGACCAGGCCTGCAAGGGAGGGCAGTTGGAGGTGATCAGGCCTGCAGGGGAGGGCAGTTAGGGCCAACCAGGCCTGTAGGGGAGAGCAGTTAGGGGTCCAGGCCATCAGGGGAATGCAGTTAGGGGTGACCAGGCTGGCAGGCAGAAGCGCTTAGGGGCAATCATGTAGGCAGGCAGGTGATTAGTTGGGAGCTAGCAGTCCTGGATTGTGAGAGGGATGTCCAACTTCCCATTTAGGCCCAATCCCGATGGCAGTCAGACATTCCTTGAGAGGTCCCAAATTGGAGAGGGTGCAGGCTGGGCTGAGGGATACCCCCCGTTGTACATGAATTTCATGCATCAGGCCTCTAGTACTATATCAAGTATAAATGAACAAAAGAAAAGTTTGGAATTTGTTGTTACTGCAGTTTGTTTTCCTTCCCTTGCAAACAGTAAAATCCTAATTGCAGTTTAAGGTGATAGATAGCACTATCTGCCATAGAGAAAATGTGGTGTACCATGGGATTCCAAAGAGGGAAACATAACAGAAGTGGAAGCTCAGGAAGACTTTCTAAAAGTTGTGACATAACAACTAGCCTGCAGGATGACAGAAATTAATTAAGACAATCTGGATGTTAGGGGAAGAAAGAGAAGAAAAATATTCCATGCAGAGTGAACAGAAAAGATAGGAGAGGACTGAAGCCAGTTGAATATGTTGAAGGCACTTTGTGCACAGTTAAGAGATGCAGATGGAGCTCGAGCAGGTATAGCTCAGTTGGTTGAAGGTTGCCCGGTTTAATTCCCTGTTGAAGCATTTACCTAGGATGTGGGTTTTGACTCCTGGTCAGGGTGAGTGCAAGAGGCAATCAATTGATATTTCTATCTCACATCAATGTGATGTCTCTCTCTCTCTCTCTCTCTCTCTCTCTCTCTCTCTCTCTCTCTCTCTCCTGTAAATTAATAATTATAATTATTATTTTTTAAAAAGATAAGGATGGAAATTTAAGAATAATCTATATTCCAAAGGCCCATGAAAGGATTGACTTTCAGCTGGAACTTACAAGATGCTCTAACTTTAAGGGTAAGTCAGTGGTAGCCTGAACTATACAATGAAGGCTCAACTGAGCATGGTTAATAATTGGATATAGGAAGTAAAGAAGAGAGAGAAATCAAAATAAGTCCAAGATTCCTGTCTTGGGCAGCTTTTTGGCTCACGCTAATATTATCTGAGAAAATAAACAGAGAAGAAGCAGTTTTGGAAGTGGCCAAAGACATGAAGACAAATTAAATTTTGGACAGATTTATTTTGAATACATATGAGACATTAAATTCCAGCAGAAGTCTGACCATGTGAGTTTGAATCTTAACTGTGAAATAGAAATGCAAATAGGTATTTGTGAGACACCAGCATGTAATCAATAATTGAAATAGCTGTGAGTACCAGAGAGGGAGGATCCTGGAGGAAAAATGGGTCTACTAGGGGATAATGAAGACTCCTTTTGTATAATGGGCTGGCAGAAGAAAAAAAGATTGAAAAGGAGTGTCCAGAGAGGCAGGAAGAGAGTATAGGCTGAGAGAGAAGCCAAGGTGACTGAGGTCTCCAGAAGCAGGGCAAATCAGTACAATTTAGCAAATATTTGTTAGTGAACACTGTGTGCCAGTTGCTGGGTCAATGATGTCAAATATTGCCAAGAAGACAGTTTCCACATAGCTCTTGACTGCTAGAAAGTCACTGCATCAGACCCATCAACCTGTATACAAAGTCTAGGGGACAGATTTGCAAAGCATTTAAAGACTTGCAAAAGCATCTATTATCTATTGAAAGGTTGAATTCCAGAGCAAGACTTCCTGGGTTGAGTCCTAGCTTAGTTTTAAGTTAGATGTATGATCTTGGGAAAGACTATTGATTTTTTTCTCTCCTCCTCCAATTCCTCACTTGTAAGATAGCTAGAAGCTTGGTGCACAAAATTCATGCAGGGAGGGGAGTGTCCCTTAGCCCAGCTTGAACCCTCTCCAATCTGGGACTCCTTCAGGGATGTCTGACTGCTATGTAGGCCCAATCCCAGTGTGGCGGTCAGACATTCCTCTCACAATCCAGGACTACTGGCTCCCAACTGTCCTCCCCTGCAGGCCTTGTCTCCCCCCCTCTTCAACTGCCTTTCTCATCAAAGAGGAGGGCCCAGCAGAGTCTATATCAAGAGCAGCTATGTTTCTCCTTGGTTATATTTTATGAACCTATGGATCACAAATTCAATTTAAATTTTATTTCTGTCACCCCTAACTTCCCACAACTGCCCTCCCCTGCAGGCCATTTATGGAGGCCATCTTATGGCAGCCATCTTTGGCTACATGGAGGTGGCCATTTTGTGTCTTGGTGTGATGGTCAATTTGCATATTACTCTTTTATTAGATAGGATACTTTTCCAGGAGTGTGATCACAAAGGTTGAGAGTCATTCCTATCAAGTTCTTAGAAAAGTGCCTCACATGAGGTTAAGTGTTGAAATGTAATATTAGAAGCTATAAACTAGGCCATCCACAGTTTAGTTCAGGTTTTGAAAATACAAGCATGTCCTACCAAGAGGAAACTTGAATTTCCTGATGAGTTTTACAATTGCCCATTTCCCTTGTTCTTTCTAGGAGGTTCATTCAAGGTAACTAATCTCTCCTTCCCCAGGCTGACCCAAGTCAAGAACTACATCCCAAAAGACTGCATCATAAATGGGTAATTGGCAAGGGTTAAGAGAGGGGCAGCTTTCAGGGGCATTAACTGTGTGATGAGGAAGTAATTTCTACTGGCAGCTACCTACATCTCCTCTTTCAAATCACTGAGACACCAGTAGTTCAGATTCTAGTGCAGTAATTGTAACTTCTAGCTCACTGCCTCCCCCACTCATCAAAGAGGAGGGCTCAGCAGAGTCTGTATCAAGAGCAGCTATGCTTCTCCTTGGTTATAATTTTATGAACC